ATATAGAGAGAGAGAGAGAGAGAGAGAGACAGAGAGAGAGACAGAGAGAGAGACAGAGAGACAGAGAGACAGAGATATGTAGATATATAGATATAGTTTTTGTTGTTAGATGCTGTTGGGTCAATTCCGACTCGTAGTGACCCCGTGTACAACAGAATGAAACATTGTCTGGTCCTGCGCCGTCCTCATAATCATTGTTATGCTTAAGCCCATTGTTGCTGCCACTGTGTCAACCCATCTCATTGAGGGCCTTCCTCTTTTCACTGACCCTCTACTTTACCAAGCATGTTGTCCTTCTCCAGGGAATGGGAATGGTCCCTCCTGATAACAGGTCCAAAGTATGTGAGACGATGTCTCACCATCTTTATTTCTAAGGAGCACTCTGGCTGTACTTCTTCCAAGACAGATTGTTTCATTCTTCCAGCAGTCCATGGTATAGTCAATATTCTTCACCAACACCATAATTCAAAGGCGTCAGATCTTCTTCGGTCTTCCTTACTCATCGTCCAGCTTTCGCACGCATATGAGGCGATTGAAAACACCATGGCTTGGGTCGGGCGCACCTTAGTCCTTAAAGTGACATCTTTGCTTTTAGCACTTCAAAGAGGTCTTTTGCAGCAGATTTGCCCAATGCAATGAGTCTTTTGATTTTTTGACTGCTGCTTCCATGGGTTTTGACTGTGGATCCAAGTAAGATAAAATCCTTGACAACTTCAATATTTTCTCAGTTTATCATGATGTCACCTATTGGTCCAGTTGTGAGAATTTTTGTTTTCTTTATGTTGAGGTGTAATCCATACTGAGGAGCCCTGGTGGCCTAGTGGTTAAGAGCTCTGCTGCTAACCAACAGGTTGGCAGTTCGAATCTACCAGTTGTTCCTTGGAAACCCTATAGGGCAGTTTTACTCTCCTTATAGGATCACGATGAGTCGAAATCAACTCGATGGCAATGGGTTTGTTTTTTGTTTTTGTTAATCCACACTGAAGGTTGTGTAGTCTTTGATCTTCATCAGTAAGTGCTTCAAGTCCTCTTCACTTTCAGCAAGCAAGGTTGTGTCATCTGTACAATGCAGGTTGTTAATGAGTCTTCCTCCAGCACTGATGCCCCGTTTTTCTTCTTATAGTCCAGCTTCTCGGATTATCTGCTCCGCATACAGATTGAGTAAGTATAGTGAAAGGATACAACCTGACGCATT